TGTAAGTAATTTAAATTATTAAACATTATGAACCATACATTCTTATAATAGAAGTACCCTGTAGTCAAAATTTGAATTTAAATATCGTTCATCTCCGTGAAGCAATCACTGAGAAAAACGTCTGTGACAGATATATAGAGTCCAAGGTAATTCCACAAGTGTTCATTGTAGGTCATTTTAGCAGGGAACCCTAATAAACTATGTATTTAGGTTCTGTACTGCAGATCAAAGAATAAAACTCATTAGAATCAATCATACAATATGTATTTAATATAAGATACAGTACTTGTGACATGTGGACAAACCGTTTTACTATCTCATTAAAGGAAAAAAACTTAATAACCACTAGGTCGAACAAATTTTAAGGTTTAAGATAAAAAGTAACATTCACTATTATGCCCAAACTTGTGATAAATTAATTGAGGTAGATCACCCACCAGATCTGTGGGTCAAATTATAATTAATTTTTCGGATTTCACCATTGAGGATATAAGCAAATAAGACAACGCATTAAACATTATACTATATATAATTAAATATCTACAAATTGAATATAAGTAGTGCACACTATTTGGGATACATGCTCCGCATATAGTTACTATTGAATCCTTGTCAAACTTTACAATAAAGGAGAACATTCATATAATAAACGCATAATATAGGAAACATGTTGAAAGACAACTCGAGTACACTACCACTAATCTAACCCCGGCTGTCAATCCCGGAACTTTGGCAATCTCGAAGTAGTCGTCGGAGTCCCGGGATTGGCCGCTGCCGTCGATCCCCACCAAGGCGCGAAGCAAATTACTTCTGTTTTAATGCTTATTAATAAATACATATCTATTTACACCCCTTGGGCGAGACCCGACCGGGAAATTTCAAATCCAATATCTAAATTAAGCTACCGTTTCTACTACAATCTCAACAGCGCAAACTGTATAGCGGCGCAGTGGCACCCTGTCTACTTTCCGGTCGGGGTTACCCGACGTTTCGCACGTCCAACGCGTCGTCGCAGTTGTAATGTGTTTCACGCCTTCTCAATATTCGAACGTATCGTTCCCGTTATAACAAACCACCGCACGTACCTTCGTTTCCGTCAAAACACGACCATCAGCAACCAACAGGTTGAGGAAAGGTAACAACTTGGGACATTTCTGAGCAAGTCTAAATAATCAAAGGCACACGCCACAATACACGCGAAACGTAAAAAAAAAACTCACATCATTCTATACCACGTTATAACTACTGTGGCAGTGACAAAAATATATTTTCACTCGTCACGTCGCTTATCAATACTAACGTATCTTTATATAATTTAGAAGCCCGTCTAGAAGATTCTAGATTCACAAAATATTCCTCTGGATTAATTTTGGTACAGCTTACACTAACTTACGGGAGCTATTTTTCTCGAAACTTCGGTCACTGTCACTAAATATAATCGAGAGAAAAAGAATTTGTACTCAAGCGCCTAGGCCAAATCTTCTGTCACGTTTGATAAAAGAACGATTAAACCTATTTGATATTGAGCGAAATATATTAATTTCAATAAACGTATTACCGCGTCACAATTACAATCGCAATGATTAGCAAGTTTAGACCTTTTGCAAACAAACCTAAGTATCAATATCGCACGATGTCATTAAACAACAAAATATTTTATTTCCTTCACCTACCGAACAACCAACGAACGACTTCTTTCAGACTGCCAATACATTTGAGATCATATTTCAATAGCTATACGATTTAAAGAAGAACGAATATTGTCTTTCCGATTTTGACTATTAAATAACTAGTTAAAAGTGAGCCAATAAAATATGGCACTACTATCAGTGCTGAAAATAATTAGACTATGATTATTAAAAATTTAATTTAAAAAAAAATCAGTACATCGGAACGTTATCAAACGAAAAGTTTATATAGATAGCTACGATCCGTTAACTTACCGACGTTCAGGCACCAACTTGACTACTTAAGTGATTTTTCCTAATCCATTTCTTTGGAACCACTTCGCCACGGCACTGTTATTTTACCTTTATGAACAGCGCCAATAGAGTTTACTGTTGCATAACGCATCTCTACTACGCTTTGCTAGTGTTCAGAGTCGCTTGCAACCACAAACATTGCCTAAAATGATTTTGCTTATATAAAAGTTGGCAGCAAACTATTCGCAACCGACAAAATCTAACTTTCCGAATCTATTCCCTTCAGTATTCAAATTTACGTTTTAATATTAAACTAGGGGCCGTAACAAACTATACCAATCTAATATATCTCCCATCGTACAAAATGCCAATGTCCGTGAAAATCGCAATGGTGCTACGACACCGCACAATTCGTTCTAACTTAATCCTAGAGGCACTAACTAAAAATCCTAGCGAGATCGTGTGTGCACAAAACACAGGTTTTATCTTTATTTGACCTAATGCCTATACAATTAGGCGTGAATAGTTGAAATCTTCTGTATAAGGGCATCCAAAAAGTTTTTACATCTAAAACTGTATATTCTGTTATTGCCATAATATTAAGTCAAAAATAATTGGCGTTTATTATTTATATTGGTGTTTTATTTGACATAAAATGGTACAATAATGGCGTAACAATTATTAATAATTGTTACATGTAAAAGTGCTCTCTAAATGACTATGCATAAAATGTTACGTCACTGATTAATAGAAACTTTTACAATCTGTATTACAGTTTCATTCACAATTTTATTGCCATTACAATCAAAATGGCATTACAAACATTAATTTTACAATGTTTTAAAGAACGCAAAAAAAAAATGTTGCTACATATTAGCGTTACACAGCTTATAGTTAGTACGCTTATCATGTTTGGCCTAATGAGAAATGTATGTACTGCGGATATTGATAATTTGTCGCCTTAAATACATTCTGACTTGCAAAAAATATTGACATTACTCAACAGACGATAATTATATACAAAAACGAAGAATCATAGAATTTCCGAAAGTTATTTCGGAAATTCTATGTTTCTCATTAGTAAATGATTAAATAATATCTAATAAGGTTACCTTCCGATTACTACACTCCATTTAAATTATTTCAAAAAGGACCTAGCATTTTATAAAGTTGAATGGAGTTTAATCAAACAAAACATGTCTGGTAAAAGTTTTTTAAACAATCGCTAAAATATTCAAAGTTCGTTAAAATTAAAATATTGATTTTTTTTTTAAATTAAATTAGTGTTACGTGAATTTTCCTTTGCCAGTTGTTATTGGATTTTTTACGGTCAGTAGCATAACGAAAATTAATTTTATGTAGGGTTGATTTTTCAATCGTCAGTTGAAAGTTATCCATCATATGAATTACAAGCTGACTGAATACAAAAGTGAAACAATTGAACCAGTATTTTATTCATACAACTGTAAATGGTAATATGCTCATGGTGTAACTTGTGCTATGCATTACTTTTACCTGAAGATTGATAAATCCTGCCTAGCTGGCATGTTACATCCATTTTACGTTACCAACATAGTTTATACAGTACAATATATCGAATACAGAAATTTTTGCGGTTAAAATATGTATATAAAAAGTACACAAGAAAATTATACGAACGATATAAAAAATTTGTACTATTTTTGTTTCGTCTGTATTGTTTGTTCATATCTCTTTTTCATGATATAATATTATGGAGCTGACCAATATATTTTCTATTACAACGAAAACACATTTTTTACAAATTTGTCTCACTTGATTGAGAATCTACGAACCGTATATACTGGTGGTATCAGCTACTATTTATATTTTAAACACGCAAAACGTTATCAAATACAACATTATATGGAGTCATTACAGTTGAATAGCTTTATTGTATATTTGTTTCTTTCGTCGAGTGCTAAAAAACGATCGGCCAAAAATTGTGCGTGGCAACGAATGTTCGTTACTCGTTAAGTCACTTATCACAAATATGTTATTACTAAATGTATACATCGTTGACAAATAACAACGGACTCTAGAACTAAACACAACTTCAATGGCAGTAACTACGGTATAATGGACATTACAAACAGACAGTTGTTGATTCTAGAAAGCGTACACAAATTACAGCTTCGAATATTGAACTCTAACCCGCTAGAATTAAAAGTGATTCTCGTCCGACATGGATAAAAACCTGATATAACATACATTGTAAAGACTACAACTGTCGAACTGTGTCAGGCACTTGGTGACACATAATGGTCGCCCCGTAAAAGAGACCCGTCAAAAATGCATTCATGACCACACTAATGGAATCATAATATACAACACCCAAAACCGCCGTAACCAAACGCGAAAGCAACGGAGACGCGAACACGTCGGATGGGTGAAAAGAACAAAGCAACTAACGCAAAACATCCAAAGCTAAAACGTAAAACCGACTAATATATACTATTTACAAATTGGCAGTGATTCTTATCGCTGGTCGACTGTGTCGATACCGACACGACTTAACCTAACTTACCGACTATTCAGACTACCCTCCGGATGAAAACTAAATCATCGCTTAATCTTTTTCATTTCTTTACATTTCGCACTAGTTATATACAAAATTTGTTCGATACGACGTCTACGCAACGCGATAAGGCTCGAAATCGCGCGTATTGCCATTTCGTATATAATGTAAAGTATCAGTCTTGTGTATAATTTAACTCTGCTATCGACAAACTAAACTCTAGCCGCGCTGCGGGTAGTTAACGAATCTTTGGCGAATTATTTTAAATCGGATAGCGTCAGCCACCCGCTTGCGGAGAATCAACACCTGTCCCCGACCCGGGTCAAAATATACCCTGCGGTATCCCACTTCCTGGGTTCAATTTTTTTTATCGTAAAACAATCGACGACACGAACCTCGTGCCACTAGCGATACTTAAACTATACAATAATTTCAAAACTTCACTGATATAATCCGCAACAGTTTAAACTCAGAATGTTTTATAATATATAATCCACGGAACACAACGGTATAGTGTAACACGGGTCGTTAGAATCGCTAAATTATCGTCCGCACGGCCAGAAAGAGTTTCCGCCGTATCTTCTTCCTAACTTCCTCTTCTTCGCTCCGCTGACTTCCACTCTATCCTTGTCGTCGTCCTTGAAGAGCATGGGGACGTTAGTGGCGCTGCAGTCGTTTTGCGTTTCCATCTTCTTCTGCTTCGCCAGGAGGTTGTTGAGCAGGCGCGAGGAGGTGCATTGTCGTGTGGGCAGCCGGCGCTGCGGGCTCGTGGGCGCAGCGGGGGCGGCGGGGGCAGCGGGGGGCGCGGGGGCGGCGGGGGCCGGCGGGGGCGACGGGCTCTTGCGGTACGAGTTGCAGAACTGCTCGTACAGCAACACCTTCGTGTGGACGGGCAACTGGCCAATCTCCACCCGTTTCACCATCTTTACTTCCTTCTCCGGGACCCATTCGTCTTCGATCCTGGAATAGAAAAGAAAATTTTATAAGCAGAAAATCCCGTGCCACACAGCGCATCTGCAAACACAGCTAATATCAAGATATGTACAAAGCCGTCAATAAGAGGAATTATTCGCTGACAAATAAAACGGCTTTTAAATTTCTAATAATTTTTTATTGTGTTTGCAGCTTATGTGGGTTGCAATCCCGTCATACCCGCTAATTTCAGACGTAAGAATCAAGCATGCAAAAATTTTAACAAGCCGCATTTAAGTTATAGTCTACATAAAATAACGTTTAAAAAGTTTAAAAGCCCGACTATAGAAATAATTAAAATTAGTAACTGAACTGTAACTGTAAAATAATAAAAACAAAAAGGACTGGCAACCCAAATAATTGCTAGCAATAACGGAATATAGCAATAAACCAGAAAAATCTAGAGACATGTCAATCTATTAGATAATAAAAGAAAATGGTTTATTGCTTTGACAATAAATTATAAACGTGTTGCTAGCAACTTCGATTACCCAATTTGATTCCTGTGTGGCACATGATGTGGCGACATGAGCAATGAGCATGCCAAGCGTTAGGTGCAAGTGTACAAGATACCCGGGAGCTGGCCGTCACTTTGACTCACGTGTTAAATACAAAGCTAAATGTTAAATACAGTTTTGTGCAATGTTAAGAATTAGGTCATTGGCACGGTTTATACGTTACTCTCCAAATTAAAAAAAAAATAATTAAAAATAGCATCCTTCACAAGTCTGGCATTCAAAAATGTTTTAATTTTACATTTTTATAAATAGAAAAATGATTTCCAAGTGATTGTCCCAAGTGATGTCTGGTACAAATTCTTCCCAGATGAGCCTAGAATGGTATTGGCACTAGGAAGGGTGGTAGTTTTCCGCAACTTACTTTTACAAGACTGGAATTTAAATATTCATTCTTCAAAATATATGGAACAAAATACCATTTTTGATAACCAAACGATTTAGTCAGTTGCTAATTTTCCTCAGGTATAGTTTTCAAAGTGGCAGCCAGTTCTTACACCAGGAGGACCAATAGCATGTTTTATATTTTGATTCCAATTATTTTATTTGCTTTCAATTTAAATTTACTTTGAACTTTAGAATGTAGTATGTGACTATGTGACCCTCTAATAAGCATGGGCATTTTCAGTTTCTAGCTGCAACGGTTAAATTAACCGATATTTAGTTTTCATATCGTTATTGAAAACCGTTTTCAAATATCGATATCAGTAGTAATGGTTTGCTACTGAATACGCAACCGACAGCTGAAACATAACTGCAAAGTGTATAACCAGTGTAACATTTATTTTTGGAATAACTTCGATTATTTCAGTTTAGAAGTCAGAGATTAATATAATCTTAGATGTAATATTTAGACATGTACGTTAATATATAACTTATGTAAAATTCATTATTATGCAGTAATATAGTATTATAAATGTCTAAAATTACATTCTTCCTATCCTTATTTATTTCTACCCATTTTTTTAAAAGAGAGACGTAGGATCATATTTTGATTTCAAAGTAAAGTGTACACATAAGAAGTAAACATAATTTTTTTTGGATAGGTTTAAAAAAAAGATAGGTATAATAATTTTAAGGTTTTGGTTGGATATATGATAACGGTTATGTACTTATTAGGTTTATCTATATATATCTATATATGATATTTGATAAGATAACGTTATTAGTTACGTTTTGATATATCGGTCTCATGCCTACCCTCTAGTGAGCAATATGCAAAAATAAAGTAAGAATCAATAAAATTCCACACGAAAAGACCTAAAATTTAAATTAAAGTACCTGCGTACATTCAATCTTGCAATTAATGTTCTACCAAACTAGGAGTATGGTTTAAGAGATGTAGATGAAGAAGGTCAATATATATTTTAGGGCCTAATACATTCAAGGACTAAGTATAAAAAAAACTGGTGCATTGTAAGATACAGTTATCACACAGTACACTACGTTTAGTTATTATTTTGATTCCATGCACATGATCCTCAATTAAGTACAGACAGCGGCAAGAATCGTGAGCACAACCTTGATATGCGCACTAGTCGGTTTATGGGTCTCTTTGCTGAAGTAAAAATTGCACGGGGCGAGAATCGTGTTCATTATTTCACGTGATTCGTTCGTCAATTAGATGTTCACGATTGCAGTACATTCGCAGGGAAGTGTACATGCGTAAACGTACCCACACTACTATTTCTCCGTGCTCAAAACTTAAGCCGCTATTTGCATCTACACCGTGACATCAAAAACCATGTAAGTGGTTAGTAGCAAATTAGAAATTAAAATGATTGACCATTGCTAAATAATATTTAACTTAAAGTTATGAAGTACAGTGTTCATAGAATTAACACAAAACTACTAATGTACTTCCGTGCACAAAGTCGACAGTTGATTATTTCAAATTTGACATTAATATGCAACATCTGATTACTTAAATATCACAATACTACATGGAAAATATTATTTTTATTTAATCAAACCACTATAAATGATCATAATGTTATGAGCATAAATAAATACTCAATAACAATACATTTATAGCCTGATCAGAAAAAATTCTAAAATACGGTTGTTCGCTACTTTACATCATCATCATCATCATATTAACCCATCACACGCCCGCTGCTGAAAATAGACCTCCCCTAGAGAATGCCATAAAGCATGATCCTAAGCCACCTGCACCCATTGACTTCCTGCATCTTTTACCGTCCACTCGTCGTTGGTTCTCACTCAATCTAGCAGGGAGCCGCCTAACACTTTGTTTAATGGTATGAGGTTGCAACTCGAGAACCTTTCTTCCCCATCGGTTGTAGGTTCTTCGAGCTATATGGTCGGTCCATTAGCACTCCAAATTACTAATCCGTGGGGTGATGTCGGTTACTCTAGTTTATATATGGTATTAAAAAGTCTATTACACATAGAAGCTCCGAGTATAGCCTTCACATTAGCTCGCTCGACCTTCAGCTTCCTTATAGGACCAGCAGTGAAGGATCACGTCTCAAATCCATATGTTATCACATTTTTTTTAACTAAACCTACTAAATTTGGCCCAGATTCAATATATCACCGATTTGGTCAATAAACTTCGGTCTTGCCTACTCTGCCACTCACTTCTGCATCATAAATTCGCTTTGTCACACTCTCCTCATTCATTCTTTTTACGTATTCAAACCATATAGTAGGTATATAAATAATAATTAAGTTTTTACCTACATTGTTGACTATTTCGTGTTGTAATATGAAATATTGAAATATGAGGCGATTAAGAGAAATGCACTATCGACATTATATAACACACCAACTTGTTTATAATAATGTACCCAGGTGATTGTCAAATAACAAATATAAGAAATGCGTACATATAATTATGGTGTAAGAAACATTCCGATATATTGTATGATAATTGATCATTTCATGATTGCAGAGGAAATGTTTAAATTAAATAATATAATTAAATGTGAACGGAGGCGTTGAGCCTGTTACATTGAGAGAAATCAAAGAAAAGAAAAACTACTCTATTGTAGTTTTTTTTTATCCTGAGTAACATTCATCATCATTATCATAAACACTCACGCCTGCTACCTAGAGGGGTAGGCAGAGACTACGGACTTCCATTTGGCACGACCCTGACACACCTCTCTCGCCTCCTTTATATCCATAATCCATATACCTACGCATACATGCTCGTCGATTAAGGGTAATATTTATCTGGTCCATCTTCAATGTATTGTCAATTTAGTCGATTAACTTTCGTCTGGGGCGTCCCTTCCTGACTCTGCCGTTCACTTCTGCTGCATAGATTTGCTTTGTCACTCCTCGTTCATTATTTAAAACACCGAAGTATTCCTTTCTTAATCCTGGTCACAAGATCGTCTTGCAAACTACACTTTTCAGCAAATTCAGCCTACCGACTAGCCTATACTCTACCGCATTTATCCAACTCTCGTGGTTCTTCTGCCACACCCAACTTTCACTACCATACATTAATATAGGGACTAACACAACATTGTGCATTGCCATTCATTCCTTTTTTGACACATTCTGACTTTTCACACGTTCTCATATCTACCATCCCTGCTAAATACACATCACAAATACACTAACTCATCCACCATTCCCTTCTATTCTTATTTCACATTCAAAAACCATCAATTTCGTTTTACTTGAATTCACTTTCATTCCCCTTTCTTTTAAAGACCTGTTCATTAATGTAACCATCATTTGCAACTCGACCACCGACGACGCAAATATGACTAGAACATCTACGCACAAAAAGCAATTGAAGGCTAACTCACTCATTCTTAACCCACATTCTTTAGCTTTCAGTTTCCAAACAACTGTCCACAAATACGTTGAACATCGACGTAAAAAACCGGGAAAACTACACAGCCGTGCCTGACACCTTTATGCATGCGAAACCAGTCCGTTTAGACCCCGTTCATCAAGCACTGGGAATCTTATAAAGAGACTTTAATGCCTGTATCAAGCCAGCGCTCAACCCAAATGAGTTCAGTATTTGCCACAACACATTCCTGTCCACTGTGTCGTAAGCCTATTCCATGTCCACCAACGCACAAAAAGTGCAGTAACATTTTACAATACAAAACAAGTAGAGAGGGCAGCAACTTTAACACTATAATATATCTGTGTTAATGAGTTCATAAATTAAGTTTAAGAACTGTAACTTGTGTGCTTTCTTATTTAATCAAACATGTTTGTATATAATACTAGTTATTTGACAATCACCTGGCTATATTATTTTTATTGTTACATAATTCTATTATATAACTGTTATATAATGCTATTAAAAAATATACCCAGGCAATTGTCAAATAACGAATATAATAGGAAAAACCGTACACATACTGATTGTATGATATTGTTGCATATAAATGTCAGTAACAGACATAACATCAAATTTACCGCACCCACCTGTTGTTTACCTGATTTTTAAGAACTTATAAACAAAACTGGGCTGCA